TCGACGATATCATATTTGTCAGCATTATTATTATTATTATTATTATTATTACATCAGTATTATATTTTATACATTCTACTAGCTGCTTTTATATAATATTACTATAATATTATCTCTTATGAAAATTTAATATACTATTTAATATACTATATATAATTTATTATACTAAACGGCAACGATTAATTACTTACTTTGAGTATTAAAATCATTGAACATAACAGTGCTTTTAATACTCAAAATAAATAATTTCTTATGTTAAATTCTGCAAGAACTGTTTCTAACCTACTGCTCTTAACATATGTAAAATAACAGAAGCAGACTATTAAACCCTGTAAACCTCTTTTATCGTTCAAATCGATCAATACAAATTTTGATGAAGTATTCACAGAAAAATTATTTTTACTTTTATTTTATTTCATTCAACAGAAACGCGAAAAATACTTCGTTGCAAAACATCAAAATCAAATCCACTCGAGAATTGGATAGATTTTAATCCCTAGAAAATCTTTTCATGTTTTATTGCTGACGGAAGTACTTTAGACACTCCAAACGGTTCAAAATTATTTTAGATCCATCGACCTATTTTATACCGTTTCTGTTTGCGCACAAAATGTTATAAATGTCCAAAGTACGTGAGCATTTTTGGGCAGCCCATATATACGGTGACCATTCGTCCTTTATTGTAAAGGACAGTTTACAATAGCTACCTTCATTTCAGCCATTCTTTAGACTTATTTATTTTTTTTTTAATTTAATTTTATCTTTTATTTTAATAATATTACGGGAAATTCCTTTCTAATTAATTAGTATTCCAGTGTTAATGTACTAATGAGCGAATTTTTACGGAAATTACTGACAAATTTAGTTTTATGCAAGAGCAATATTAGCTTAGACAGAACAACAAAGTCATAGTAACATCAAAATGACGTCAAAATAAGTCATGATTGATAAGTGACTTTTAATAATCAAATTTGCAACTATTTTGACGTCATTTTGATATTATGATGACTTGTGCTTTACTTGGGAGTTATCTCAAGATCCTATGTAAGAAAATTTTAGAAATTAATGCTCAGATTTCTGACTGCAGTCACAAACTCTATATATATATATATATATTTTAGAAATATTTAAAAATAAAGTCCTAAAATTTTCAGGTTTGTTCTTTATTTTCTCTAAGAAAATATGGTCACCGTACCTTATATACATATAACATGTAAGACAAAAGAGGCTAAGCTAATAAATCAAAAGGGGTAACTCGGGAAGTCTTTATCTAATATCTGTCTATGGCTACAGTCTACTTGATGCTACAAATGCTTCGCAGCATTTTTTGATTGATCAATTAGTAAAATCTTTTTGTTCCAATTGATCAATCAAGAGCTTCGAAGCATTTGAAGCGCCAAGTGTATATCGCACCCTATAACTATTGGCCCGATCAAAGTCTCACTACAAATGTAGAATTTGAAGCATTTGATTGACCAATCAGAAGGAAGAATTTTACAAATTTACCAACCAAAGAATGCTTCAAAGCATTTGTAGCATTACGGGAACTGTACCACATTTACAGCACTCGTAATATCGATCTTAACGCCTTGCTTATCGGCCGGTGTTTATCAGTTACATAATTTATATCCAGGTCGCAAAATTCGCACATATAAAATTACAAATGTGCTAAAATATATCACGTTGGTATAATATGCGATAAAATATTACGTACTCTTATAAATGTTGTAAATTATAAACGGGTGTATATCAATTGCACACGAGCCAATTGTGTACATACAAGCCAATCACAGCGCTAGAAAAAAAAAAACTCCTTACGCAGAAGTTGCTGTGATTAGCAGTGGGCAATGTGCAAGTGACTCCCATTATAAACGACTAGAAATAGGAATACAGGAAAAGTGGCAGAAATAAATTATCAAGATGCAAAATATCCGAAAATTCGTTCTTTTTTAAGTGTATAAGGTGATATCGCAACGTAGATAGAATTGATGATATTTTTATCAATTATTAGCTGCGTTTAGCAGAAAAAGCTTTGCAACTGTTGTAAAATTCTTGAATATAATTGATTTATACACTTAGATCCAGTAAGAAACTAAGGGCAAGATCAATCATATTAAAGAATTTTGCAATTTTACAACAATTGCAAAGCTGCTTTCTCTGCTCTCGCATAAAAATATACTACTAGTACAATAAGTAAATTCGAATAGTGTAATAGTGGTGGAGAAAATTTCATTAAAATTACACTGAAATTTTATTAGTAAAAATAAGTATTGTTGATTAGCATCATATTTCAGAAGATACACGAAAAAATTATAATAAAAAAAAAGTTTTCTTTATTATAATTTTTTCGTGTATCTTCTGAAATATGATGCTAATCAACAATACTTATTTTTACTAATAAAATTTCAGTGTAATTTTAATGAAATTTTCTCCACCACTATTACACTATTCGAATTTACTCATTGCACTAGTATAGTATATTTTTATGCAGCCATTATTTTCGAAAGAGAAACGATATGTCGATCGCTACCCAACACAAATGATACTAAAATTAACAAAGAGTATAATTTATCATATTAAAGAAATTTTTATTCATATTTCGTGCGCATCAATTATATTTACAAGCCGATAATGAAGACGTTAAGAGAAGAATCAATAAAATTCGAATTCGTGTTACAACTATACTTGTGTCTCTCTATAAAACATTTTCTCTCTCTTTCTCTCTTTCTTGAAAAATATAGTGTAAAATTATTTAATTTACCCTTTACCATTGTCGACCAGTTCACGCAATACGTCGAGAATTAATTCAGGAACTGCATCGTAATACAGTACGAACGACATGAAGTTCAGGCCAAACGCGATTTCTTAACCGAATAAACGACTTCAATTTACGTTTAATACGTCTATTCTATAATAACCGTAATTCTCCGGCTCGCGTAAAGGAGCACGGCAATAGGGAGTTTTTTGCAATAGCGTTTATCCAGATACAGTGAACGCTAAGGTCAAGGTTATCTTCTTCTTAACAACTAATTAAGAAAAGGATAGCGTGACTTTAGCGTTCACCGTATCTGAATTTACGTTATTGCAAAAACTCCCTAATGTCTCGCGCCATGACGCTTCGCTTGTCTTAGCGCCAAAATACTACCGTGTCTCCAGATAAGCGATTCCGTTCACTTGCATATCTACGTTTGTGTATTATTTGTCGCAACGCACCTTTTTGCTAATCAATCGATAACATTATTTGGCACTTTGTTGCTATAATTGTTAAACTAATTCCGAATATTACGCGACGCGAACGCGATCGTATATGCAAACTGATGCATACTCCGCGAATGACCGCGAAGTTGGATACAACGTGAAGTGAGGCACACGTAATGAACGACAGCTAATCCGAAATTCGCCGCTTTTAAAAAATTTGAAGATCGTTTTGCTCACGTTAAAATAAACGTTTTTAATCTCGACAAGTTTTTTTCTAATAAACATGTCCAGCTATAGCTTTCGTTTCATATATAATTCGAATGATTTTTTTAATTAAATGACTATTGAAATACACAAAAATAATTCAATCTTTTGCATATTCATAATCATATATAGCTCACCCCCCCCCCCCCACTCTCTCTCTCTCTCTCTCTCTCTCTCTCTCTCTCTCTCTGTTGTATATTTACATATTATTTTAATTGAACTATATTTTTGTATTATATAAAAAAATTATAATATGACGTAATTAATACTGTGCAACATTTATATTTTATACACTATATTAATATTAGATATCCTTTCCAAATATATTTTCAGTACTTTCTACAATTACAATTGAAGAATAGAGTTTGAAAAGTGCCATTCGTACCAGAATCTTATGAATATTACGATAAAACAAAACAAGAATCTTTGTTTAACAATCTTTTAAATGATTATTTAAAGAGGAACAAAAAATTCTAACTTAAATCATTGCAAACGATTTCGAAAATGCGGGATCATTGCGATGAACAGATACATAACATTAACGCGACCAATTTCCTAATATCTCGTTGTTTCTTCATATGTGTGTGTGAGCACTGTATTCGTAATTCTTTGCACGCCAATTGAGAATTTGAGCGTTTTTATAATAATCTTAGTAGATCTGTGCAGTCAATAATTATAATACCTACTCAATTGCGGCTATGATTGCTTTGACGTCGACCAAATTCCGATTAACTTATTCGACAATTGAGATTATTTATGGCAAAGTTTCTAACTGTACAACTCGTCCTCTGTAATCCAATATTTTCTTAGATTCGTCAAACAATAAAACATTCTAATTATATTAATTCCATTCTATTAACTTACTTGATAATAATTAATCGTCAATTAAATTAATCGGAGTCATTCTTTGTATGATGAAAAAAGCACTTAAACTCACGACTTGATAGCAGCGATCTTCCACTTTTCCTCATTCACTTTTTACCGCTTTCCAAATATCTAAAGTTATTGTTAATTGAAATTGCAGCATTTGTTACCGCATTGTTCTTTGTTTACTAAGTTTACTCTTGTAACAGATTGTATTTATTGTATTTCTGTCTGATGTATACGGAATCTAAAATGTCTTCTTCTCCTATTGTAAATTCTACTGAATATTGTAATTCGTAGACCTAATCGACGACCAACTCGTTTACTTTTCACTATATTATTAGGACGCAAGAGATGATTATTCGTTTTATTTTTTATTAAGGAGAATATTGTGCGATATCTAAAAATATACATCAAAAGAGAAAAACGAGTGCTGATATTAATACTCCCTCGTAAATAAGAAATTCATTATAAATGTATTACACTACGTAAGTCTCGCTATTAAAAGATTATTAAAGAAACCTTATACTTTATAAGTCTCGAATGTATAATTCCCGTAATAAAGAAAATCCCGCAACATGGACTTGGCAGTGAAAAGATGGAAAGCAGATATTCAAGCAGGTAAATATCACACATATTACTTACAAATTTTTCTTAATTTTTTATTTTCGTTCTCATAATAAATAATCCATAACAATATATATTTATACAACATTATAGGAATTTACGAGTTACGAAGCAGCTGCAACACATAAATTCTCTATCAGCTTCGTTAAATAAAAATAAAATGTCGATTATTTTTTTTACCTATTATTCTCACGAACACCGACATTGAAATCCTACGAAGAAATAGTGGTAACGTTCGAGTTCGTATCCGAATTGCACTCATTATCCGTTCCTTGGAATAAGTATTTGAAATGCTGTACGTATGGCTGGCAATGTTCTCCCTTGGTGAAGGCCGTGGTGTTATGCAACCTCAAGTTGCGCTGCTCAAAAAATTTAAAGACCGAATGAAAGAGTACTGCTTCTAAGAACTTTCTTGCAGATACTTGATCTGCCATTCCCACCGAACGAACGTATCTGAAACGTACAGATATAATAAACATAGGTCCAAACGTTAATTAAAAATAGCATTTTAAATTACCGTAAGGCAGCCAAGATATGTCCCTTCGATAAAAGTACTTCGATTATCTCCTCATGCGCGTTCCCCAACCGTTTTAACATGTCCAACGCTAATTGATGCGCCGCTGGATACAAGTTTTCTAGGGAAAGCAGCAAGCAAGCTAAAGGCTTTGAATCAGTAACCACATGGTACTGTAACAATTGATGCAGTTGATAATAAGCCTTTCTATGTACCAATGTCGTGATGACCAATTCGTACAAATAATGTTGCACCGGTATTCCGTGTTCAGTTAAGGATCTGTAAAAAATCGACATTTACTTAGATCAGATAAAGTGACTTTCGATAAATTTGTATATTGTAAGTTATTACAATTTCCATATACCTGATATACTCGAGTAGGACCCATATTATCATCTTTGGTTCTATTGTATTTTCAGGAAATTTGGATAATATGTGACTATACATATCGCTTTGATCGAGCAATAATTTATACTTAAAATTTTCAGCCACTGTTGTTACAGTTTTAACATTATTCTGTAAAGGCATTCCCATCTGCAAACGATAAATAAACGATACGTTTAATGTTACTCCAAATTATTACATCCAAAAAAATTATATAATAATTATATATAAAAGAGAGGAATATATAACTTACAATTACCTGGTTCTGTATTTCATTTTCTAAATAATTTCTGTACACAATGTTAAGTTTATCAAATACAGTTGGCATCTCCATTAAACTTACAGGTAATTGTGTCATAAAACTCTGTAAAACTTGTATTAATATCTGCTTAGCATTTGATCGTTGCATTAAAAATTCTACTAGAAGCACTTTATCCGTGATTAATGTCACCAAAGCTTCCAATCTGAGCTCGACATACCTGTTTGGTTATTAATAAATGAGAAAAATTATGTTCGAATATAAAAATGAATTAAAGGTCTGTTTTCTTATAGCTGAACAAGTATACACTTTTGGAACTTGAAATGAAATAGATATATATTTGATATTTAGCAGAAGCGAGAAAGAAAATTCTAATGCAGTTTAATGAAGAAATAAAAACAGACCTCAAAACAAGATGTTGTAATTAACCAAACGTACCACAAACAACCCAATTTTACGTCAATTATTATATTTGGTTGGAAAACAACCCAATTAGGAGAATCTGTATAATGTTAAGATTTAATATTTAGATCAATAATGTTAAGACATTATTATAAATATTACTAATTAAATTAATAAGTAATATTTAATATATTTTTTTTCTAAAAGGATACATAATTGACACGGCTGATACGTCTGGTCAGACAAGGTTGTACCTGGTACTTTGAGATTAAAAGGTTTAATCGGTTTTGCTGTAGTTATACTTGTATGATGCATTACTGTTCCATCACTCACACCAGACATCATAATGTCAAATATCATTGATGTCTATTGATGATGAACAATGATAAGATTATCAACAACGTTTATAGCAAATCTTCCACCAACATCCAATTTTAACATATGACTCTTTTTAATAGTCATCATTCTGCAAAAACATTGTATAACATAGCTATAACATTGCACAGACATTGTAAATTGTTCAAAGTTTACGAATCTTACTTGTGTATAGTATAGACATATACAAACGCTGTTCCCATTGAGCGGTTGGCTCCCGGTTGATGCCGTAATAAAATTATACAAGGAGTTCCATATAATACAGCCAATGCTACATCCCTTTCGGAAACAGCCAGTTTTCCTGGTTTTGTTACGTTATGTTCAACTGGAATAATTATTAAAAATAAGCAGAAAAATATTTTGTTTAATTCAATATTCAAGTACATGCAACTTCTTACTAACTTTCAAACTTAGTCAATTTGTGAAGATTGCCAGGAGTAATATGTAATGCTTGTATTTGATTACCAACTGTACCAGATGACAATAATACCATATAACTCTTGGGGCAGAATACAAACCAGTTTATGCCTAAACTTAAGCATTTCAAGGCTTTAACATTACGTTTCTCTGGATTAACCTGTAAACAATAAGTTTAAAGTATTAACAGTCGAAATTCCGTCTAAATAATGTAATATATAATAGGTCTGTTTTCTATAGCTGAACTAGAATATTTTTGGAATTTAAAGTGAGATAGGTATATGTTTGATATTTGGTGAAAGCAAGAAAGAGTTCTAATATTATTAGAGTAAAAACAGACCTAATAATGTAAAATAAATGACAAAAGAATTTTCGCACTTGAAACAGTTCTACTCCATGATCTGTGACTACAAGTATCTCAGTGCCATGAGTCCACACAAAGCCTAGTATTGTGGCACTCTTCCCTTTGCATGACTGTGAGTACTCGACATGATCCAAACCGGAGACAGAAGAATAATTAACAAATTCCACTGACGAATTGGTTCGCTGAATTGCAAGTACATTCATATCGGGAGAGAACTTGATGGATATTACCGGGCCTCTGTCTTCCATCCGAAAGTTTAAGTTTTGGTCCGGGCCTTTAACGAGCACTCCTGTAACGCCTCCTGAGCGAACAGCAAATACCTAATACAAATCGTGTTTATTATTGTATTAGGATGGAAACAAAAAATTTCACGTGTACCGAGACAAAGTCGACTAACTTGCTGTTTCGAATCATCGAAAAACACATTTGTGAGACAGCTGACCGATTCGAACCTGATGGGATCAGGAGACAGCTCCAGGTAGTAATCATCATTCTTCCCCCGATCATCAGCTTCCATGTCTGGCATAACTGATCATCTGATCCTACCACAGGCTTGACAGTTCTCCAGGTTGCAACGCACTAGGGATAAAATAAAGCAGTGCTGTCAATAGAGAAAAACTCTCTCCTCTCAATATCCATTCCCTATACCAAATTCGGTTGCCTACCTTACTCCGCACTACCACATTCTGGCTGCTATAAATAAAGTTACTTAAGTAAAAACCACGGAGTAATTAAGCCCATGGCACATACAGAAACGTAAGGCCGTAATGCGGGGTCTACAATAGAAGTCGTAGCAGTCGTAAGGTCTTAGTCGTAGAAAATTGACCAATCACAGTCAAATATGAGAAGAATAATCAACTGTGATTGGTCAATTTTCTATGACTTAAGACCCTACGACCGCTACGACTTCTATTGTAGACCCCGCATAACACGTAAGAAATAAAGAAATCGTAAAGGCCATCACACGTACAAAAATTTTAGTCGGAATCGTGAGGTCGCAAACAAATCGACCAATCACAATCAAAATTAAGATCTCGCTCTTTTAAATGCTCGACTGTGATTGGCCGACGGCCTTACAATTACGACTAAAATTTTTGTACGTGTGATGGCCTTGAGATTGGATTCGCTACTGGCCTTACGGTCTCTATCGTGATTGGCCAATTCGCTTACTGATTATGTCTTACGGCCTTACGTTTTTGTATATGCCATGGGCTTTACTCTGTAGCAGGGTTGCGCAAATAAAATACTCGATGTAAATTACATAGTTTAAAGCCTTGTGTCCACGATGCTAGAAATTGGTCCGAGATCTCGGAGAGAGAAAGAATTAACCAATCACATTTAAACAATTTAGTCACATGATCAATGCGATTGGTCAATTCTTTCTTCATCCGAGATCTCTGACGGATTTCTAGCATCGTGGACACTATCGTGGGCTTTAGAGCCACTGTCACCAAGCTCAGTTAATCTAACTAGGCCAGTTAGTCCATCGGAATTGACCAATCGCATTTGTCATTTTGTTTGAACAATTGACAGATTGGTCAATTCCAATGGATTAATTGGCCCAGTTAAGTTAACTGAGCTTGGTGACAGTGGCCCTAAATAAAGGTAACCAAAAAATTCATGAATGAACTTTATTAATGAATCTGTTGCTAATTTTTAATCTTTAGGGGTACATTCCAAAACGTTCTCTCCGAGAAAAATTTTATTCGAAATATATAACACGCGTAACGTATGCTATAGCATATAGAGTAAAATCTTCCTCAGAGAGGATGTTTTGAAACATAGCCTAGGTAACCATATATTGTGAAAAAAAGGCCTTAATCACATCTCTGAACTGCGTTCGGAAACATCACCCGAGTGCCTCTGCTTTTTATCCTTGTTGTTCACCTAATGTTAAATAAGAATAAGATGATACACGGGGGCACCCGGGTAATGTTTCCGAACGCAGCATATGTGTAGTGCTGTACTACACTCGGTCACAGAAAGGTTGCAACACTTTTTTCGGTGTGTTTCGGAACACAGCTTACTCACCGAGCGATTGGTTCTTATTTATGGATCCATGAGTAAGAACTTCTTATTTGATATAACTTGAAGAACAGGTCAGCAAATACATAGTGTTTGTCAATACCTGTGCTAAAATTGATTTTAGAGATTAGAAACGTGTATATTACGTTTTATACATTTTTGACGTAATATACGTGTATATTACGTGTAACGTAAAAAATCCTACAAATTGTCAAATGTCCCAACCTTGCTCTGTAGTAAAAACATAATTTTAACAGATAAAAAATGAAGGTACAAATATTATAACGTCTCCCCCTTCGATTTTCCTGTAATTTTATAAATTTGTGTATTTTCATGTATAAAAAATATTCTGAGAAGGAAAATTGGTGCTCAATAATTAAAGAAATACTGTGAATAAATATAGGAAATCGATAAATAATGTAATTTTATCCAGCACTAGTATTTATCGACATCATCTTATCAATACATTTATATTAAAAAGTAATAATCGATAAAATTTCATAAGAAATAATTAAAAAACTAAAATTTAAGAATTTAGTTGCTAGTATAGTACATTCTTTTATTAACTGTTTATCGTTATACGTTACATTGTGTTTAAATATTACATAAATTTATTGAAATATTGGAAAACACTACTTTCTGTTACATAATCATCAATAAAATATTACAATTTTCAACTTGGACATTACATTATGTTAAATATATGGATTACACGTATATAGCAATAAAATTTTTTTAAATGTGTAAGACATAATAATAAATGTCTATAAATGCATTAATCTTTAAAATCGTTCTATATTTTCTTAATATTTATTTCTTCTGAAAAAAGTTAGTGATGCTTTTAGATCCTGCCGCTGCTCTCTGTTTGGCTAATTCCTTTTTACCAGGGGCAGTGCTTTTCTGTAAAAAAAAAAAAAAGTATATATAGAGAGAGATATTCAAATTAATTTGTTCACACAAATGTGCTGTTTGAAAATTCTTTATAGATATTTTTCCTGTGTCCATGATTTTAAATAAATAAAACAAATACAACCTTCCACATTATTGTAATGTATAAAAGCATAACAATTACAACCTTCAAGTAGTAAAAAATTATTTATATATTTTATTTGTAATTTGATATTTGGAATTATAGTTATCATTTACTAAAAATGATTATAATTACTACTGCTACTAATAATTGACCTTTTCGGGTTTACTTAAAGTTTTCATTTGCTTCTTTGCTTTTGGCACTGAACTTTCTTCAAAGGAATCTTTCTTAAGTTTCTTCTCATCCGTTTCATTTTGAGGACTATTCAGCTTGCGTTTTTTACTCTCCACTTCATCAGATATATTCATACGTTGTGCCAGTTTCTTTGATAGATCTTCAGCAAGGTATTCTGACACAATGCCATGTGCATATTTTAAGTATTCTATAAGAAAATTTTCGATAAGTGCTCAATTAATTGATCTTGCTTGTAGATGGTGGCCTACAAAAATTAGTTGAAGATCTCGTTATATCTCAATTCAGCAATAATAGATATTGAGAAATCCTCAAATATTTTATCTTATAATCTTATCCCTCCTTTGTTTCATAAACAGCATTACGATTGTGATTTTTCTTACCTGCTTCTGTACCAATTTCATATTTAGTACTCTTAACATAAGTGGCACTCATAGCACCTTGAGATACATGAACTCCTTTTTCTTTTAATACGTGTGCTACCTTTTCTACCTTCTTTTGCAACCAATTTAAAGATTTCTCCTCATTAAACTTGAAAGCTTGTAGTGATTCGTCTCCTTTATGATCGGCAACTAAGGATAGATTCAAGTTGTCACATTGTGCAAGTCGAGATGTCTCTGGAAAATCTTCATCCCAGAGGCATTGCTCCAAAGGTTGTGCTAGTTGTGACTACAACAAAGACATTTATTTTAACATCTCAAAAATTTTTCAAAGAAATAAAATTCTACAATTACCTTTCTCAAGTATGGTAAAGCCAAAAAGATAGGATCAATTGGTGTCGATAAATGCAACTTTCCATCAGATTTGACACTATCATCAATAAACCAAGATCTTTTCTTTTCGTCAAAGATTAAAATCTCTTGAACTGTGAGATTTCCAGCACCGAATACAAATATAGCTGGCTTATCAGAAGCTGGATGTCTAAGTTTCACTATCTCAGATTGGCCTCTACTTGTGCTGTCCAAATTGCCATCTAAAATACATTTTCATTGATATACAATACGGAGACATGTATTTCTCAGGAACATCTACAATGCGACCGTAGTAATCACTAGTAAAATTGCAAGTTGCAAATTGTCAATATGATAAAACACCAATAAATCGCGTTCACCTTTCATCAGGAACACCCACGTGTTCGCCGACGGGTGAGAGCTCGTCACCTTGACTAGTTTCTGCGGCAAGCTTTTCGCGCGCGGCATTTTCCATGTGTCAAGCGTCGATTTTTGAAGGTTATCTTTCCGGTTGGACGGGAAAATGCTCGATTAAGCCATTCGCTCGCTCATATGCACCACTATGCACGCAGGAGTTTAACGATCGATTGTCTTTTACGAGCAATATTGCTCTTGATTTATCGCAGCCAGAATTAGTTTCACTTGCAAACAGTTTTGTTTTGTATGCGACATATTGCGGAGACGCGTAGGAGTGACAGACAATGTTTGAAAATTCGATGCATAATGGCGACGCTAAAAATCGATAATAGCTGAAATTCTTGCACCGTTTATTTTTTCTCTTTTTCTTCTCCAACGTGTATATATGTGCTCGTCGAGCGATTGGTTATTACTTATGGATCCATAAGTAAGAACCAATCGCTCAGTGAATAGGCTGCATTCTGAAACCAAGAGAAACCTGAGAGTGGACATCCCGGCCGTACACCAAACTTCGTAGGGTAATGTCCACGGTTTTGTGGTTCTTTTCCATACTATTATGCGGGGTCTACAATAGAAGTCGTAGCGGTCATAGGATCTTAAGTTGTAGAAAATTGACCAATCATAGTCGATTATTCTTCTCGTATTCGACTGTGATTGGTTAATTTTCTACGACTTAAGACTTTACGACCGCTACAACTTCTATTGTAGACCCCGCATTATAGCTGTGTTCCGTAAAGGTCCGTCTACAATGGAAAGTTTTAGACCGTAACAGTAATGCGTGGTCTACAATGGGCAGTAGCAGTAATGGATTAAGAAGTAAGCGTAGAAATCGATCAATCATGGTTGATTATTCTCCTCACATTCGATTATGATTGGTTGATTTCTACGCCAACTTCTTAATCCACTACTGCTACTGCCCATTGTAGACCACGTATAAAGGAGATCGCAACTCGTAACAGTAGCCGTAAGTGAAATGGATTATTTCCATTTCGGTACTGCCTACGGCTTACGGTAAACGTCTTGCGTTACTTTGACAGCGATTCTCAGCGAATTTTCATCAGTGAATTTGATACGCAGTTTCTGGATATCCGATATTAAAATAGCTCGATGTCTGACGAAGATGATAATATAATAAATAACGTAGAGGATGATGACAACGAACACGATGTTTTATTCTTGAACGAGGTTATGGTAAAATCCTTGAGCATTTCGTAGCCTGTTTATAGGTCGAACCCACCAACGTCGTTGCTTTATTGTCATCCTTCTTCTTATAACCTGCCATTGCGACAGTAATAAACTGTGCCAAGATAAGCAAAATAAAAAGAAAAGTCCAATTTTTCTTATATTCATGATATTGCAAGTAGTGAGAAAACTATTACATTTTGCATGTAACCTCAAACGATGTATTTTCTGATTTCAAACAGTCTGTTTTCTCATTGGCCGATTATACCATTACCACCGTTCCATTGTAGACAGACGTCGTTGTAGAAATTGCGCTACTACCTACGTCCTACTTCCTTACGGCTTACAGCCAAGGACATCGTTGTAGAAATTGCGCTACTACCTAC